GAGGCAGCTTTGCCTTCAATAATTGTTCCTGCTTCAGAGTTTCCAAGTAAGAAATCAGCTGAAACACTATACCCGTCTCAAGGAAGGGAAAATTAGGCCTTAGTGGGCATCGAGAACCCAGTGTGGTACCTAATTGAAACCTTTTGGCCTTAGTTGGGAATCCATTCTATTTGGACAAAAGGTCATACTCCCTGTCCTTGGGGGCTCTCTTAACTGTGAGTTTTCACAGGTCATTATTTCTTCCACTAGTGTAAGGAGAGAGAGAAGTTATTTTAATAGTTGATTTCATAAAGAGGGTTTGGAAGACAAGGAGGGGAGACATGGTTTACTGGCAGTTGTGTACCTTCTCTAGTCCACTCTCGTTGACAAAGGGCTAAAACCTGGCAAAGCGTCCATCACCAGAGACTCATGCCTGTGTATGCCACGTCCCAGCTACCGTCTGCTAACTGGTTACTCAAATGGTGAGTAAGGTTACAGAAGTCCAGTGCTCTGGCTCACCCCAGCACACTGTCACCTTAGCAGCCAGCCAGCGTGGAGGCCTTGGGGGCCTCTGACCCTTGGAGTTGGCTCTCTTTGGTGCATATTTTTGATTATAAAAGACATTCCTGGCCCTGAGTTCCTCCAGGTCTAGGCAAGTATGCTAATGAAGTAATAGCTGGGAGACCACAGAAAGGGGTTCGCAAAACAAGCAGTCTGTCTCCTCTTTTCTAGCGTCTCAGACTTTCTAGAGGACAGGCCAATACATGGTAATTTAATCTAATGTCATATTTTATTTAGGAAGGAAGGTAAATTTGTTGCTTGCAAGGAAATCATTTTGTATTATTTTTGCTAATACCCAGTTGAAGCTAAATAAGCAACTATATGAATCCTGTGAATTAATTTATAAGTAGAGATGTTAAACAGCTTTGGAAATATATGCATCTGACAAATCAAAGCCTTATTTAGTGAGCAGGTCAATACTGTTAGTGAGGTGTGGCTAGACGGCTGGTCTTTCACGCATTCACAAGGTTTGGTTTCAACCTCGAACTGTTTTTAATGTGACAGTATTGTTTTCAAACCTAGTTCAGTTGCTGTGAACACCTTCTCTGAATTGTACATTAACTTCATTTGTGAAGAAGAAAAATGTTCATTTTTGTCCCAGTAAATTCAGACTGCCTGTACACTTTTGGCAAAATATGTGAATTTATAAAGATTTTGTATATACTTTCCCTTTTGTGTTGGTATGATTTAATTTGCTCGAATTGTTAACATTTAAGCATACGGTTTCCTGGATTTTTGGCCAAATCAGAGTTCCACTTAAAGGGTACCAGTAGCTAACATTGCAGGGGACTAATCTTTCTTTTGGGTATCTACTGGCATCAGCTGCCCTGGAAAACCGGAACACTTTTAAGAGATGGAATGTGCTTGTTCTCATAGCTGCCACGAAGATGCAGGACTCGATAGCTTAAACAGGGCCCAGTTAGTTCCCTTACTGCTGTTTCTCCCCTGGACCCTACCTTAGCATCCATTTTGGTCACCTAGTATCTGAACCTTTGTGCTTGTAAAATTTCTTTACTCTGTGAATCTTGGTAAAGACAAAAGAATGACTCCTATATTAGTTTTCTATTGCTGCATAACGGATTACCACAAACTTAGCAGTCAAAACAACTCCCCTTTATTATCTCACAGTTCTGTAGTCGGAAGTCCAAGATGGCACAGATGGGTTCTTAGCTTAGAGTCCCAAAAGGCTGAAATCAAAGTGTTGGGAGCTGCTTTCTCATCTGGAGCATGGTGTCTTCTTTCAAGCTGATTTGTTATTGGCAGAATTCACTTCCTTTTTGGTTGTACAACTGGGGACCCTGCCTGCTTGCTGGCGGTCACCCAGCAGGTGCTCAGTAGCTTCTAGAGGCCATTCCTCTGCCTTGCCACGGAGTTTCTTCCTTCAAGGGAACATGACATACTGACTCCTTTTCCCACTCAGGATCACTCTATCAGCGGAAATAAACTCTGCTTTAAAAGAACCTAGATAGGCTTGGTGCCTGTGGCTCAAGTGGCTAAGGCGCCAGCCACATACACTCAAGGTGGCGGGTTGGAATCCAGCCTGGGCCCGCCAAACAACAATGACGGCTGCAACCAAAAAGTAGCCGGGCTTTGTGGTGGGCGCCTGTGGTCCCAGCTACTTGGGAGGCTGCGGCAGGAGACTCGCTTGAGCCCAGGAGTTGGAGGTTGCTGTGAGCTGAGATGCCATGGCACTCTACCCAGGGGGACAGCTTGAGGCTCTTGTCTCAAAAAAAAAAGAACCTAGATAATTAGGTTAGACTCATAGGATATCTCCCCCATGATTAACTCAAAATCAGCTGATTTGGGAGCTTACTTAGATCTGCAGAATTCCTTTGCTGTGTAGTATAAAATAATCACAGATATAATCTCGGAGGGGTGGGGATTGAGGGCCATCTTAGAATTCCACCTACAACATTCTCTAAAACCTTAGAATGCTGGATACTTAGTTTCTCAGCATCCCTTGCAGTTAAGACATAGCTATGTAAGAGGAAACACTCACCAGATACCTCGAGGATACAGCAAAGACATCTTTGCTGGGTTTTCACTCACGCTGGTGGTGGAAGAGGAAGTTAATAAGGATTATCACCTCTGGAAGCAGCAAGATGCCTCATCCCCTTGGTTCCATCCCCTCTCTCAAATTGCTGTTGCATTTCCCCTGGGCTTCGAGAAGCAGCAGTGAGGCAGAGCTACTTGATGGCCTTGCAGTGCTGAGTAATGGAGGTCAGAGCTCAATACCTGGCACTAATTAACCTATTGTGGATCAGGTTCCCAAGGGGCTTATTCCAGAGTGGGAGTAGGAAGCTGAAAGGTCCAAGCTCAGCTCCCGGGGCTTCAAGCATATTAAAGTCCTGGTGGAAGGAAACAGAACCTCTCTCTGGAGGAAACTTGCACCATCTTATTTCTCAATTGTTTCTAAAACCAAATTATCAAAGGTTTGGTAAGCACTCTGAGACATGGCATCATGATGTAAAAACTGAGACTCTAGATACGAAAATCATCTGTAGATATCTAGACAGTGTTATCTAGACACTAAAATAATTATTTTTGCTATGTTTACAGATAAGGCCAAATTTTTAAATGCTGTACAGAACTAGCAACTAAAGAAGTGGTTAACAGTGCATTTAAAAAATACAACTAGAAATTATGGACCTGGGTTTTATTAGAGTTTAAAGAGATACTGAAGAATTGGAAATGAGGCTGGGAGATCCTATTCACAGGGAAGCAGAGAGAGAGGAGACCTGGAGATATAACTGGGGTTCCAGAAGAGAGAGGGGAGAGAAAAGCATCAGCAAGGATGTTGTGTCATCATAACCCTGTTCTCACCAGCGAAAGGACATAGACTGTGCCCAGAAAGGGGAAGTGGCTGGCCTTGAATAAGATCTTCAGCTGAGGACAATTCTGTAGAACCTGAAGGGTGGAGGTTGTCATCTGGTAGCACTCTCAGTGCCTAAGGGAGTTCCTTCAGTCCTAACGGGATCAGGGCAGAACAGAACCTCACAGCATGTGCTATGTGGAACTCTTGTTGGTATTAGATTAAATGGTCTCCAAGATAAAAGGTACATCTAGGTATGAGCAGAGTGCCTACACAGTGAGGAATGATTCAATCGGGAAGATGCAAAAAATTCTAGTCTCAAATTATGGAGCAAAAGTTGGCAGAAACATAAGAAATGAATCATATGTTTTAGCCTGAGACTTGAACACAGCTCTCAGTATTTTATAGGAAAAGTAGATCAAATCAATAAAAGTAAAAAATGTAATGACAGTAATTTAACACAATGGGCATATACAGGGCACTATAATGATTTTGGCATATACGTTCTTTTCAAGCACATAAAATATTTATAACATTGACTATTTCTTGGGCTATACAAATTTTAAAGAACTGATATTATACAGAAAGTTCTTTGACTACAATATAAATTTGTTAGAAGTCAACAAAAATTAAGAAATACCCATTTATTTGGAAAGTTAAAACCTAAATGTAACATGCAAAACTATAAAATTCCTAT